TCCAATGGTCTTATTTAAGTCCTCCTCTTTCATGTCTCTTCAGTTTTGGGCGTTACTAACCACTCACTCCTATTGGCTACTTTCCCCTCCCATAGTTTCAAGTGTCAGGTGGTAGAAATTTTTAGGTATTAAACTGGGAGCAATTTCATTGGCTACTGTCCTATGTCATGTTCATAAATAACAACAACAACAAAAGAAATTTGAAGAGCACAAAATGGAACAGAAATGTGATTGGAAATGAGCCAATTTATAAGAAATTGATGGCTATGCTAGGGGTACCTTGGAGAGAGGCGGGGCAGCAACTTTGAGTCTAGAGAAGGCAGAGTTTAACTACGAAGGGTCACATTTGTCAACAGCTATGATTAAGATTAGAACTTAAGGGAACATTTTCAAGTTCATCCCTTCTTTGAAACCTGTGTTTCTATCCAAATAATAACTTGCAAATGTCAAAGTGATTACTTAGCACCCTCTCTGTAAGATTGGGCAGTGTTTATAATTTTTCATAAATGGTTGATACTTTGTTCTTTCTTGCCTGAGCATACTTTTCAAAATATCATTTTATGGCTTAGTTTGTGATTTATAGAACTGCAAAATCCTAGATTTGGAAAGAGCTCAGAGGTCACCAAGTCCAATCCCCTTCTTCACTTCCATGCAGGATTCCCTTCTAAAGGCATTCCTCAAAGGTGGCCATTTGCCCTGGGAACTCACTACTTTACAGGACGCACCATTCCACCTTCAGACAGCTCTTGTTATTAGAGTTCTGTGTTAAGCTGGAGCTGAAATGTGCCTCCCTGTAAGTGGCTTCCTTCTTGCCAACCCTACCGGTCCTGGTCCTGTTCTCAGAAGCAGTAGAAGAAACATAAGCCCTATTCCAGACAATAGTCCTTCAGCTCTTTGAAGGCAACTATCATGTCTCCATTGTCTTCTAGAATTTATCAAAAGAAGCTTGGTAATATAATTTGTTTCCCTTCTTATTCTATTTTATTGATTTTTATGGCTGAAGTAATTTTTTCCCCATTAGAATCTCAAGATCAATCACAGTCATTTTTAATTACTCTAAGTGACCTACAGAAGAGATTCTTAAACTTTTTTTGTGGGATAGACTCCTATGGCAGTATGATGAAGCCTATGGAACCCTTCTCAGAATTATGTCTAAAAACACATAAAATAGAATAACATAGAATTACAAAGGGTACCAATTACATTGAAATATATTTATCAAAAAATCTTTTAAAATGAGTTCATTGATCCCAGGTTAAGAACCCCTGGACTAGAGTACCCTTTTCTCAAGATGCAGCTAAGGCATAATTCCTAACAGTGAGGTGATACAGAGAAGGGTTTAGTGCTAGACATCAAGTGTGCTATGCCTATCCAAATGAAATTAATGCAAATATATGTAATTTGGGATTATCTTTTCTGCATTAGCTTTACCTTTTCTCTTTTCCATTAGTATGTATAATCAATCAGCAAATATTAGAACTAAGCACATCTCATAAAAATGTTGAAAGATGGATTTTGAGGCCTTTTAATACAAAAAGTATTTATAATCATTTTACAAAATTTGTTCAAAATTATTTTAATAATTACTGATTTATTTTTTTAAAATATTTTTATTGCATGGCATTCCAGTAAGCTGGTCAGTACAAACACATTTTTAACTGTTTTCTGGCTTGCATTAATATTTTATGAATGTGTGATTTTTAATGTAAGCCACATAATAAAAACCTAATAAATAAATGTTTATTGAGTCCACATAAGCTCAACAAGTAATTATTGAAAAACATCTCAAAGACTCTACTTGTAAATTCTGAAAAGCTGGCAGACATAGGTCATAGATTTGGCTACTGAGATACTCTCCACTTGGTGGGGAGAGGTCATGATATTCAAGTTGTCCCCAGAATCTTCACTTCCAGTTCTGGGCCAACACACGGAACAGGTTCCTCTAAGGACTGGTGAAGCTAAGGCAGAGAGGACAAAAAAATCTAAAGCCTGTGAACTAGTACCAAAAGATTGTTACACTCCCAGAGAGGCATTTATAATATGAGATGAACCCACTAAATGTTTATAGCTGCCCTTTAACTAGGCAGGTTAAGATACACTTATCTCTTTTTTTCTATTTACTAACATGATTCAGATTAAGTTACTTTTACCAGTCTAGTGTCCCAAGTCCAATAATAATCAACACCCAATTGCCCATGGTGACCATGGCCTCTTCCTCCCAAGGCTGAGCTAGATTTCACAGTATCACCATGCAAGGGGAGGTTGGGGGCCAGATACCAAGTATGACAACTGGGTCAAGTCAACAAACATTTAGTAAGTGCCTGTCATGTGTAAGGCACTGTGCTAAGCACTGGAGATTTAAAAAAAAAAGACAAAAAAATTCCTTGCCCTCAAGGATCTCACGATCTTGTGGGGGAGAAAATATATCAACAACTATGCACGTACAATTTTTATACAGAGTGTGTATAGAGAATCTAATAATTTTTAGACTTTATAAATATTAAAGTAAGTGTTGGTACACTAAATAGATGATGTTTACCCGACAAGTTGATGCTTTACTGGAGGACCTGGTTACAGCAAAGGTCAAAATTAATGCAAAATAAAAAGAAAGGAAAGAAAATGAGGCAAAAATACTGTATGCACTTGCAACACTCCCTGTTGACCTATTTAAATAAGCTATGGATGCTGAAAAATAACAATTAAAAGCAAAGACAAAGACTCTGTTGCAAATTCTTAAGATCATCGATTTAGAGCTGAAAGGGGCCTTGGAGGCCATCCACTCCAACCCCCTAACTTTACAAATGAAGAAACTAAGGCCCAGAGAGGTTAAATAATTTGCCCAAAGTTAAACAGGTGGTAATTGGCAATGCTGGGATTAAAATACAGTGGCCAACCAATTAAAATAATGATCACAATAAGAAGGTAAAACAATCCCTGGGAACCACCTTGGCCACTAAATATGATAATTCCTTTCAGCTTGAGGTGACCTGGTAGCAAAGAGCTATAAAATGATTTATAATATAAACTCATAGTCAAAACATTGCAGAGGAGGCCAATGGAAAATTATAAGCCGTATTGCTGGGCAAAGTATAAAAGAAGCAGTAGAAAAATAGTCTGCAAAAAGTCTGGCATGAGATCCAACCAAGTGAAATCAGGTGAAGAACAGTCATCGATGAAGCTGTAAGAGGGACAATAAATCCACATGAAATGGAACAGATTTTCCAATGTTTTTATAATAATCTTTTCTCATTCCAGATCACAGTGGCACCAACATATTTGTGCTATTAGCACATTAGGATCCAATGAATTATTTTAAAAAGCAAAAATGTCACTCAAAGTGATATGGTTAAAAACAGTTTACCTGAAAAAAGACCTAGGGATTTTAGTGGGTGGTAGGCTCAATTGGGCAGCTGGGTGGTATGGTGGATAGAGTGCTGGGCCTGGAGTCAGGAAGATCTGAGTTCAAATCTGATCTCCAATATTTACTAGTTGTGTAACCCTGGGCAAGTCACTTAACCCTAACCTTATTTGCCTCAGTTTCTCCATTTGTAAGATGAGTTGGAGAAGGAAATGACAAACCACGCCAGCATCTTTGCCACAAAACCCAAATAGACTCATAAAGAGTCAGACATGACTGAAATGACCGAACAACAACAAAGTCTCAGTATGAGTCAATAGCATAATAGGGTAATCAAAACAGTGAACAAAATCATAGGCTCCATTGAGAAAGGTGTAATTACCAGGACTATGGAGATGATAGGCCTGTTGTTCTCTGCCCTGGTAAGAAGACATCTGGAGAGCTGTGTTCACTTCTAGGGAGCACATTTTAAAAGAGCATGGATAAGCAGGAGCTCATCCAGAGGAGGGGCTAATGTACAGGACCTGACAACATGGTGGCACATGTAGATCACAGAAGTGAGAAGTTACACAAAATATGTACTTGGGCCCTTCTTGTTAAAAGAGCCTTTCCATTCTACTATCTGTCCCTTGGGCCAGGTCTGAAATCTTTTACCTCTGCTATATGCCATAGTACCCAGAGGTCTAATCCTATTCCTCAATTCTACTATTTCACCCTCCTGACTCCCCTCCCCCCTTCTCCTTCCAATCTTCTTTCTTCCTACTAGGATGCCACAAAATTCTCCAAATGGGATGCCCAAAACTACACTAAGGACTTGTAATCAGTGTTTCCCAGTTGATGTGTTCCAGTCACCAGGGGATCACAATATCAGAGGTGCTTTCATTCATCCGCCTGCTTTCTTTCTTGTTGGTACCCCCTCTACTTTCTCTCCACATACACCCTTTGGCAATGGTCATCAAAAGGAGTGCTAGAAAATGTTTGGAAGCACTCCTCTGAATGAAATGAAATATTAGTAGAAAATCAATAGTCACTTTAATTTGGCTCCAAAAAAAAAAAAGAAAGAAAGTAAGAAAGAGAGAAAAGAAGATTCTTTCCATTAGTACAAAAAGAAATTTGTTTTCAGGGAGATAACTCCATTTTGCCCCTGAACCCAGAACTTCAGAATTGAGTACCAGTAAGGAATTCAACATGACAGGGCATGAATGGTGTTGTATTAACAATTCACACCTGCTCTAGCGGGTAGTTTCTCAGCTAGTATGTCACGTTGTGATTGCAAAATGACTTTCTTCAAACATACAAATATATTTACATGAGTTACTTAATGAATAGTACTGCAGTCCCCACTTGGGAGATTTCTATTATTCAAATTGCTCCTTCAATTTCTGGTACTTAATTTAATGTTAACAAACATTCTGAGCCCCATGCTGAGTGACAGGGAATTAATCTGCAGTGAAATCACACAGATTCTTACAAGCTCTTCATTGAGCTACCAAGGACTGATATTTTGCTGTCAATTTAAAAAAAGGATTTGGAGGAGGGAGAACTTGGAGATATACTGAGTTATTGCAGGCTGATCCATCTTTTTCTTGTAAAATACAACATATTGTGGCATAAAACAAATAGGAATAAAATTTTACCATACCCGGCCTCTCAGCAGCTCATAAGCAGTCACTCCCAGGGACCACCAGTCAACAGCAAAGGAGTATCCTGTTTGTCTTCTTGAGTTGAACATCTCAGGGGCTGGATGATACAGAAAAGTGGGGCTAATGATTACTTTTAGGTCCTTGATAAATGAATACCTCCACAGATACTGTTGTGTGTGTCAAGTTTACCTTCATGGGAAGAGAATGTGCTTAAACTTAAGCAAGATTCTGTCCTTCTGTTCAGAAGTATTGCCATTTCCCCCACCCAAATTTCTTTTGCTAGTTTTCTCCCCTGACTGAAAAAAAAGCTTTTGTTCTGGCTATAGGTTGGCATTGTCCCCAACCTCAATGTGTAGGAGCAGCCAAAAGGAGCACAGATTACTATCACCTCATAAGTCCCTGATTTTACTGCTCTCTGTCAATGCAGATTGTGATATAGTCTTCATGAATTGCAGCGGCTAACCTCAAACATCATGGGGCTCATGCTAGAAAAATTTCTAGGTTGGTAGGACCAGCCAGAGCTTATGCTCCACTGTCATAGCCTTTGAGAACCCATGACATCTTACTGAAGCACCAGGGGACTTTAGTAGAGAAATTGAGAGGGAAAGTGGTTCACACTTTATGTAGAACTTAAAGGCTTACAAAGAGCTTTTTTTGAAACAACACTGTAAGGTAGGGAGTCAAGTATCACTGTCTCCATTCTAGAGATGAGGATAAGGGGGCTCCAAGGGACTGGAATGGAAGAGAATTGAGAACAGGAAATCAGCCCTGGATATGGGTGTACTCTTCTATGCCTTATTCTGTGCTAGGCAAACTGAGTTTTTTGAGGGTGTTTTGATCATGTTTTTGATCATGTTTGATTACTGTAGGGATCTGATTTTTATAGGTGACTGATTTTTTAAATTCCTATTTTTAATTTGTGGAACAAAACAAGAATTTCCATAACATAATACAATAAAAAAAGATGACCATACATGAAACTGCAAATTTACTATACACAACTTGCTATTCCTTTCAAATATACTACAAAATTATCATGCAAATATTTTTTTTCCTTGCCTCACCCCATCTAGAGATGGCTACCATTAGACACAAATACACATATGTATATGTGTGTCTATACACACATATACATATAGAATTATTCTGTACATCTATTTATCAGTTCTTTCACTAGATGCAGATAGCTTCTTTCTTCATATGTCCTTTATAGCTAATTTGGGTATTTATAATACCAAATTAACTTATTCACAGGGGATGAAGCAAGATGGCAGAGTAAAAGCAGTGACTTGCTTGAGCTCTCCCCTAAACCCCTCCAGATGCCTGTAAAAATGGCTCTAAACAAATGCTAGAGCAGCAGGACCCACAAAAAGACAAAATGAAGCAAATTTCCAGCCCAAGACAACCTGGAGGGTTGATGGGAAAGGTCTGTTGTGCTGGGCTGGGAGAGGAGTGCAGGTCAGCATGGGCTGCACAGGCAAAGATGAATCTGAAGCAGGGCTCAGGGGACTGAATCACTGGCAGCTCTAGTGGTTTCCAGATTTCTTGACCCACAAATGCCAAAGACAACTTAGAAGATCAGTAGGAAAGGTCTGTCAGACCTGAGTGAGAGAGGAGAGGGGTCTGGCCCCAGCCCTGGGGCAGCAGCTGCTTGTGGAGCTCTCTGCCCACAGATGGTGCAGGAATCTAGCAGCTGATTGGAGGGGGATTACAGGGATCTCTGTGCTGGTGCTGAGGCAGGATTCTCTTGCTTTTCCTGTGCTTGGATTGGAGTCACAGTCCTGGGTGGAGGTCCTGGGGTGAGAAGGAGTGCTGGCACGATGGAGCTTGTAGTGGTGGTGGAGAGGAAATCATCCCCACAGTTCCAAGGCAGAAAAGAATGACTATGGTCACTTATAGATCAGAGCACAAGCTAGGAAAGGAGTAAACACCTCTCCTTTGACATAACACTTTGGAAGAACTAAAAATTTATAGCTCCCTACAAGTATCTCTGAAAACATTTACACAAAACCCTTGAAGCTTGGGACAATACACCCTCCACACTGGAAGAAGAGCCCTACATTAATAAAAAGTTTATAACTCGAGTAATTGGCTGGGAACAGGAGCAAACAGCAGAAAAAACTCAGACTATAGAATCTTACTTTGGTGACAAAGAAGATCACAACATACAACCAGAAGAAGACAACAAAGTCAAAGCTTTTACATCCAAAGCCTCCAAGAAGCATATGAATCAGTCCCAGGCCATGGAAGAGCTCAAAAAGGATTTTGAGAAGCAAGTAAGGGAAGTGGAGGAAAAACTGGGAAAGAGAAACGAGAGTGATGCAAGAAAATAATGAAAAATGAGTCAACAGCTTGCTAAAGGAGATCCAAAAAAATACTGAAGAAAATAACACCTTAAAAATAACCTAACCCAAATGGCAAAAGAGGTCCAAAAAGCCAATGATGAGAAGATTGCCTTAAAAAGCAAAATTGGTCAAATGGAAAAGGAAGTCCAAAAGCTCACTGAAGGAAATAATTCCTTAAAAATTAGAATGGAGCAAATGGAAACTAATGACTCTATGAGAAATAAAGAAATTATAAAACAAAACCAGAAGAATGAAAAAATAGAAGACAATGTGAAATATCTCATTGAAAAAAACAACTGACCTGAAAAATAGATCCAGGAGAGATCATTTACAAATTACTGGACTACCTGAAAGCTATGATGAAAAAAAGAGCCTAGACATCATCTTTCAAGAAATTTCCAAAGAAAACTGACCTGATATTCTAGAACCAGAGGGTAAAACAGAAATGGAAAGAATCCACTGATCACCTCCTGAAAGAGATCCCAAAAGAAAACTCCTAGGAATATTATAGCCAAATTCCAGAGTTCCCAGGTCAAGGAGAAAATATTGCAAGCAGCCAGAAAGAAACAATTCAAGTATTGTGGAAACACAAATAGGATAACGCAAGATTTAGCAGCTTCTAGATTAAGGGATCAGAGGGCTTGGAATATAATATGCTGGAGGTCAAAGGAGCTAGGATTAAAACCGAAGAATCATTTACCCAGAAAAACTGAGTATAATCTTTCATGGGAAAAATGGACATTCAATGAGACAGAAGACTTTCAAGCATTCTTGATGAAAAGACCAAAGCTGAATAGAAAATTTTACTTTCAAATACAAGACTCAAGAGAAGTATGAAAAGGTAAACAGGAAAAAGGAATCATAAGTCGAACTGTTTACATTCCTCCATGGAAAGATAATTATTTGTAACTCATGAGACCTTTCTTAGTATTAGGGTAGTTAGAGGGAATATATCTACACAGAGGGCATAGGATGAGTGGAATATGAAGGGATGATGTCTAAAAAATAAAATTAAGGGGTGAGAGAGGATTATACTGGGAGGAGAAAGGGAGAGATAGAATGGAGTAAATTATCTCACATAAAAGAGGCAAAAAAAAAGCTTTTACAGTGGAGGGGAAGAGGGGGAGAGGAGAGAGGAAATGAGTGAATCTTAGTCTCATCAGATTTGGCTTAAGGAGGGAATAACATACATACTCAGCTGGATATGGAAATCTTCCTTACCCTACAGGAAAATAGGGGGAAGGGTATAAGAAAGGGGAGATGCTAGAAGGGAGGGCAAATTGGGGGACGGAGTAATCAGAAGCAAACACTTTTGAGGAGGGACAGGGTCAAAGGAGAGAATAGAATAAGCAGGATAGGATGGAGGGAAATATAGTTAGTTTTTCCCAACATGACTATTATGGAAGTGTTTTGCATGACTACACATGTATAACCTATATTGAATTCTCAATGAGGGTAAGTGGGGAGGGAGGAAGGGAAAGAATTTGGAACTCAAAGTTTTAAAAACGAATGTTAAAAATTGTTTTTACACGCAGTGGGGAAATAAGATATACAGGCAATATGGTATAGAAATCTATCCTGACCTACAGGAAAACAGAAAAAGAATAAGAGAAGGGAGTGGTGATAGAAGGGAAAGCAGATTGGGGAAAGAGGTATTCAGAATGCATATCATCTTGGTGGGGAGGGACAGAAGAGATGGGGAGAAAATTTGGAAGTCAAGATCTTGTGGAAGTGAATGTTGAAAACTAAAAATAAATAAATTAATAAAAAATTTAAAAATAACTTATTCACTAAAAGTCACTCATAAAACAATACTGCGGTTACTGTATACACTACTCACTACAGGTGACTGGTTCTTATACATGTTCCTCATTCAGCACTTGAAGCCGAGTTTGTTCCGACTTAGTTTGTTTCCTGGAGAGGTTTTTCTTCTCTACAGTTTGTTCACAAAGCACTTTACTCAGGTTCAGTATTTCACTCAATCCCCTAACAACCCTGCAACACAGGTACTTCTATAACCCTCATATTACAAGTGGTCTTTGGAGACAACGTTCTAGACAATTTCTGAACAACTGTTACTTTCATCATGATACAAAGGGTACTGGGGTTCACCAAAGAATGACTGTTTGATGATAGACTTGTGCAAACTTTTCTGCTTTAAACTGCAAAAGTAAAAATGCAAAGCAAAAAGACCAAGATTTTTAAAACTCCTTACCGAACTTCTGCATAAGATGGGGGAAATAAGGCTAATAAGGAATTTCTCCGGGACTACTTCTATGTGAACTCCATTGAAAAGGAAAATTTAAATGAGATAACAATAGCAGTTCACATTTATATAAGCACTTTAAGGTTCGCATGGATTCTGCTAGGCCTCAAATGACATCCTCACAACAACCCTATGAGGTATATGCTATTATTATTCTTATTTTAGAGATGAGGAAACAGGTTGAGTGAGAGCAAGTGGCTTTCCCAAGATCCCAAAGCAAATAAGTATCTGAGATAGGATTCTAACCTAAGTCTTTCTGACTCAAATATCAGTGTTTTATCTGCTACATCATGCTATAAGGCATTAGGAGGGTTGACGGGAATAATTCTATGCAACTTTTTTCATGATTATAATATTCACATAGTAGGAGCTTAATAGGATCATATAGAGCTAGAAGGCACATCAGTGGCCATCTATCTCGTTCAGCCTCCCCCTTTAACAGATGAGGAAACTGAGGCCCAGAGGAGGCAAATGCCTTTGCCAACC